AAGAAAGAAAGAAAGAAAGAAAGAAAGAAAGAAAGAAAGAAAGAAAGAAAGAAAGAAAGAAAGAAAGAAAAAGAAAATAGTAACCACTAGATGGAGCAAGATGGATGGTGTTGGAAATGGTGGGCATGTACTCGACTGCAAAGGGAAGTATATTTTGCAGAAGGATGACCTCTGAGTTGGAGACAGATGAGGGGAAGAACGATGGCTGCAGAAAGAAAACATAGATGTAGAGGAAAGACGATGGCAGAGAGCGTCTGCTTGTCAGCCTGTGTACCTAAATAATGGATGACATAGTAGAGTTGGAAATGTATGACAGGGTTCTGTGATGTGGGGAACGTTTGGGTTAGTCATTAAGAAGCACTGAAATGAATTTGAGGCAATGGGAAGGCTCTGTTCATGTAGCTCTGTCGTTATCAGTTATTAACTGTTCAAGCTGCTTTGACCCTAGGAGTTTGCAGAGGACGTGTAACACAGCCAGAAAATAATGAATTAAGCAAACCATCTACCACATAAGAAGGAATGAGAAAATCCTGTTTCGGCTTTCGATTAATAACTCAAAGGAACATTAAATAAACGGTATATCAGAGATGAATCCTGTAGATTATTCATTCATCTACCTCATATTCTTTTGAAAACATGAGCCCTTTAACACATATTCCTTTTTCTAGTAACTCTATACTGAAGATTTAATTTTGTTCCAGGCATGGTTCTTTATTATCAGGATTTGATAAGAAAGGTTTTTCTTGGATCTTAGGGCAAGCTAACACTAGAAATACTGTATGTCTCCAAATGTTTTGGGTACTTTTATTTTAAATCTTTTAATCCATTATTCATTGGACAGCAAAGTAATCTTGGTGAAATGTAAATCTGGTCATGTCATTTCTTTTATATCTGCTTAGAATCCTTAGTTCCATGTTTAGGGACAAACTCTAAATTCTACACCTAAACTGCAAAACCTCCAGTATGTTGGACACATCTCTTGCATTAAACTCCTATGGATTGGTAAGTACTTCAACCATGATGGACTTTTCCACTTCAGTTGTTTTCCATGGTTTCTCTCACAGGGTATTTTTAGACATTAATTATCTCTGAAACTCAGCATCTCATCCATTCCCACCCTACAATGATGAGTTAGATATCACATAATTTTTGTTTAATACTTTATGTATATTTTATTTTTAGTAACCTCCCTGACCATTCCCTCTGTCCCTATTGCTATGCAAACTCACTTATATGATCAATTATGAATGGAAGAGTCCCCATGCCTAAAATAAATCAGTTTTAATTGCATATCTCAATGTTTTTGTATCTGCTCCCCTGTCCGTTTTAAGCACCATGAGTGATACGCCAAAGCTCTGATGAAAGAACCATGCCTGGAATAAAGTTAAACATTCAATACAAAGCTACTAGAAAAAGGGATATGTATTAAAGGGCTCATACTTTTTCAAAAGAATATGAGGTAGATAAGTGGCACTCACTTTCTTTGGGCCTTCAGGCTGCATCCCTTACTTGTTTGCATTCTCTCTAGCTCTCTCTTTCATACATATGCACAAACATATGTATATACATACATAGGCATATAATACATGCAGGTACAATTTTTGTTTTGTCATCAGAAATAAATTAGCAGGAAGTATGTTACACATGTTCACAAACTTAGACAAAATATTTTCAGCAGGTGTCATATATCAAAGGATGAAGTAAATTCAGAGCTCATAAAAATTAAAAGGAAAAAAATTGCAGATCTAACAAAAAATTAGTCAAAATATATGAACATACAATTCTATATAGCTTTTCCATATATAAACAGATACTCAACCTTATTCTTCAGAAAAATAAAAGCTAAGCTACCTTAATACCAAATAAACTGACACTGAAACTTAAAAATCATTGATAAAACATTCTATTCACAAGGCTGTGAGGACAGAGGTCCTCTCAAATGTCCCTGGGGAATGCAAATTAGTACAAGCCATGTCGACTATGATTTCCTTTAATGTAATATAACATGCTTACATTTCATAATGTTTTGCCATTATTGTTGCTTATCCCTTGTTTTGGCAAACAAAGATCTGTAAATTTATTCTGAAAGCACATCTTTTATGACAGAAAATTACAAATATATAAAGTTATACAGTGAAGTATTGCTTGTGGTTGTAAAATATTGGAAACCAACTAAATGATCAAATATGCAGATTTGTTTAAATAATCTCTTTGCTTCTAAGGTGTTTTGATGTTTTATATTTTGGCCTGAAGAGGGGTAATTGTGTAGGATTTTGCGTGCAAAAAATCAATTTTCTTGGGGGTGTTTTTCTTTGAAACAGGTAATTTTATAATGAAATTTTCAAAACTATTAGCCTAGTTCTATACCTCTCTGTGGAAACCTTGTGTCCAGGAGATAATGGGATGACCTGTTCAAAGTATTAAAAGAAAAAATTGTAAATTATCTTAGGCACTTTCTTCATCCATGGGAAAAAATACCTGACACTTTCATGTTAAAAGAGAATAGGTTTATTTTGGTTCAGTGACCCATACTCTGACCAGGTCCTACTTCCTAACATCAGACTTAGATCTAGCACCTACTTACTCAGTCACCCTTCAAAAGCCCAGGGTACGAGCCCATGAAGGTCTGGAGGAGTATCCAAATATAAAGCACAACACAAATCAAGATACTACACTGAGCAAAACTATCCTTTAAGAAAAAATATTCAGATGAGCAAATCAGCTATAAAAGCAAAAATGTAAATAGCCCAAATAAAAATGTCAAAGCACTTGCCAGACATTTCTCTGCAGTAGTCAAAATGACCAAGTGTGTGAAAAGTTTTAAACATCACTCATCATTACAGAAAAGCCATTAATGCCACAATAAAAAGTCATCTCACAGGTGTTAGAATAGCTACTACCACAAAGGAAAACTGTGCATGTTGACAAGGAGATGGGTAAAAAGCACATCTTGTACATGATCACATAAACTATAAAAAATAATTTGCATATTCCTCAAAAATTAAAAATACAGATAGTATATAATGCAGCAATCTCTCTTCTAGGCATATATCCAAAGGAAATAAAATCATTGTATCACAGAGATACCTGAACTCCAGTGTCCATTGACATACTACATATGGTGGACAAGACACACAATCAATCTAAGTGTCCATGGATGGATGAATATATAAAGACAATTTGGAATATATACATGATAAAATATAATAATTATTAATAAATATTACATTAATACATATCTATTCCAAATATATATTTATCTGTGTGCTATACAATATTCTTCCAAAGGAGTATAGTCTATCACTTGTGGCAACAAGTGATGAAATGAAATAAAGCCACACACGAAAGACAAAGTACTGTTTGTTTTCACATATATGTGGAGTCTATAAAGCCACACTTTAACTTTAATAAAAGTATTTTTCTTACCAAATATCCATGTTTAGAACTGTTCCTTTTCCAGAGTCTTTCTTTTATTATGGTGAAATATAGAGTTGATGTGTGTCTAACAAGATTTTTATAGAACTGAATTATATTAACATTTATAATGCAGGGAGAAAGCTCACAGAGCTTGTGTGAAAATAGTTAACAAATGGTTAGAGTTCCCATTTATTAAAGTATAGTAACTTGTACTAGCACACCAAACAGGCTTAGAGCACAGTGATAAGAACTGCCTGCTTTTACATACTGAATTTGTCCTTGTATTATACATGCACAGTGATGATAGAAAGATTTAAAAAATAATAGGTTAAAATAGTTAAGAATAGATTATGAACATTTTAATATTCACTGAACAAAATTTTGCTACATACACTCTATAATAACAAATATGAATCTTGTTAAATTTTTTTAATTTTAAAGAGAATAAAAAATAAAAAAATTTAAAACGATACAGAATTTCAAAACAAGATGATAGGAAATCAACAATGGTTGTTATATTGCTTATTGTTATCTTCAAAGTAGTTGTTCAGATTACCAGATATAGGCAGGCAAGATTGATCAAAAAAATTAATGATTAATTGTTTCTTTCAACAAACCAATAGAAATTAGTAGTATAATTATCTTAGCTATTGTGTGTGTGTGTATATTTCCCTTTCTTCTTTCTTTCATTCTTTTTATCTTTCCCCCATCCCAGTTATTCAATGTGGCTTTAAAAGTATACATTGTAATGAACACTTTCACTAAGAATTAATACTAACAATATAAATGGATAAATATCTTACACGTAGGTCACTCTTTTAAATGCTGCAGTGTTTATTGAAAAGGAAAGCAGACCTGATATTTTATCTATTTCTAAAAGATAGTCCAGTAGTTAATCTACAATTCTGCCATTAAAATCAAGCTAAGAAGAGAGGTTTGGCCAAGTGTATGAAGCTTGATTAATGTTGGTTGAGAAATAGCATGAAATGCAGAACCATCAAACTTGACTGTCAAATACATAGCATAAGTCAGTCAAAGCAGCCTTGCCCTCTCTTGAGTGATTTGGGAAATGAAATATGATTTGTTTTTCCCAAGCTTCAGATCTTGCAATGTCTCTTAATAGACTCTGAAATCCACTTGACTGTAGACATGGCCCGTGTTTTAGAATTTAAATCCACATTACCTAACATTTATGATTCTAAAATACTGAGATTATCCTTGGGGTGCTTTTTCAAATTCAAGTTCCAATATTATCCCAACATTTTTGGATTCTGGAAAATAAAGATCTCAGATATGTGTCTTTCATTACATATAGAAATTGAGTAATATATTTTTATTCATCTTTGAAAATATTTTCTGTAACTATAGGTTCCAAAAGTATTGATGTATCATCCCACTACCAAACTGAGAATGGATTGTAATAAAGAAAAAGAGAGGGCTGGGGATATAGCTCAGTGGCATAAGTGCCAGCCTGGCAAGCAAGAGGTCCTGAGTTCAATCCCTGGTACTTCAAAAAAAAAAAAAGAAAAAGAAAAGAAAAAATATTTAACATTTCATTGAGTGAAATATTTATGATTGTAAATGATACTAGGTTTTATATTGTCAAACACACAATCAATAAAGTAATATTCCAAAATATCGTTTAAAATTTCAACAAGCGAATAAACATCTTTTAGTCACATGTTTTTCAGGGGAAAAATCTCTTAACATCATATATTCAATCTTATATTCCATAGAAAGCTTCCCTGATTATCTTGTAATTTAATGCCCTGATTAAGAAGATTCCAGTTGATTGTTAGATCCACAGCAAGATATAATTACAATAAAAGCCACTAGAATATATATCTCAGCAAAATTCAGCAGCGACCATAATGAGAAAATTTAAATTTTCCTTTACTTTCTCTGTAAATAAAGAATACAGAAGGGGAAAACACAAATTATTGAAAGACAATTATGTTAAATTCCTAACACTGCATAAAATACTTATTAATGAAGAGGACATGTGCGTGTCCCCACGGGTACAGGCGTCGGTCTGGCTTGTAGAATCTCTGCTCCCTTTCTACAAGCAGCGGACCCTATCTGCTCCTAGGCTTGCAGAAGTTTCTTTTGTCACTGCTGGATCCTTCCTAGAGTACGTACCCTATACATGCTAACTCAGTCTTGGGATCTACCAGCTCTGACTCAGCTGTGGGAACTGCTCCAAAAAGAGAATCAGACATTGTCTTAATGGTTCTCCTTCTGGATTTGGGGATTAAATGCACAAAAAGTTCATAGCAGGCCACACTGTGAAAAACAGTGTTGAGGGAGAGGGGAAGTCTTGATGAATAAGTGTACTGCAAACTCTTTCAGAGTGCAGACACAGGAAAGGAAGGTCCTCGACTTCCCTGCACTGAAAAGAGAGCCTGGAGGCTGGGCTATCACTGAGTTTGGGAGACAAAGTGGATTACTAGAGAATCCTCCACAGTTGGTAGACACACTGTGATGGAGTTTAGAGCTCTGTCGTGAGGTTTCTCACTCAGCTTTGCTCCCTATACCTTGCTGCTCCCTCACAGAGGTTATCCTTTGGCATCTGGACTCCGGAATTACAATGATCAGAAGCTTCCACAAGTAATTCGTAATAACTAAGTTATGTTACATTAACTGATTTATAATTCAAAGATTATATAGTAGAGTTAATCTGAAGGGTCAAATACAAACTTACTTTTGCAATAAGAACTTTAAAGAAAGATACACATGTGTTCTTGTAATTTTATAGATAGTTCCTCTATGTATGTTATATCTAGATTGTCATAAAATTTGATCATTTTTGACAGTCCTACCATTATTTGGGGGGATTTAATATTTAATCTTGTGTTCTTACAACTTTTCACTGCAGAAAATGCATCTATTGTTGTAAGTGCGGCCATCCGTTCCACAGACCGGATCCAGTTCTTTGGTACACATATGTAGGTGCTGTGCATATCTAGTACAGTTTGGCTGAAAAGCATAAAGTGGTAACATAGAGTTTATCAGATTAAGTATCTTTTTGAGTAAAATATTCTTTATAAAAATGGCATACATTTAAGCGGAACAAATATATCCAATATTGAGGTTTAAAAAGAAACATTGCAGTAACTGCAGTTCAACTCAATATGACATACTATTGACAAGTTTTGCAAATTCAGGTTTTTTTATAAAAAAGCATTATACATTTTTTATAACATCTATTCTGCCACAATTTCTCTTCCTACTCAGGTCATACCTCCTCTATTATCCTATAAGAAATAATGAAATTTTAATTTTTTATTTTTAATTCTCCTTTCTTCCTCCATAATTTCAGTATACATGTATATATTTGGGCATGTGTGACTTTGCATCTATGTGTAAACTCACATGTAAATATATACTTTCATACATACATAATTTTAGTGTCGGTAATATTGGTATTTGACAGAACAATATAAGTGTGTATTCTGCTAAATTTTCTTTTTCAACTTCTTTGCAATATTTATTCAGTTATTAAAAATTGCATTTTATTTTCTTCATATCCATATAATATTGTACAACTTACATATTTGCAAACTATCATTCAATCCATCGTTAAGTGTATAATTAGGTACAGATTTTCCCATCTTCTTGCTTTCGTGGGGTAAATGATTCTACTTTAAAACCCATTAGAAACATTACCTGGTTGTGTATGATAAGATTAAAAAAATATATGCCTTTTAATAGAAAGTTTGAATGAGGTATTTTTTACCTTCTGTATAGTACCAATCAGTTTTCTATAACCAGAAAGATTATTTTTTAAATTTTTTGCAATAAAAATACGGGGTTTTTGTTTTAGCTTTTTGTTCTGCTTTTGTTTTATTCTTTTAAAGACCATTATGATGCAAATTTTCTTCTGTGAAATTTGCTATTAAGATTTATAATAAAATAGCTAAAATTTTACCTTTTAATCTCCACATTAATCAATATTAACTTACCTCCTCAGAATGCATTCCTGAAGGTGAAAAAGCAGTTTCTGTAGCCAGAACATGAAAGAAAAATTTAAAAATCAGAATAAAATCACATTTGTGGTGGGAAACACACACATTTTTAGTGTCAGAAACCTATATAAGCTTTTTACTTGAAAGTGAGGTGAGTTCTATGGATATATGAAGACAACATATTTACATACTGACTTCAAATCTTGAAGAATTTTGTAATTCCCCAGTCAATATCACTTTTGAAAATAATTGTCTGTACTTTTTTTATTAATTTCCAAAGCTTTTCTTTGATGAAACTATACTATTTTATTTAATTTATAAGACAGAGCAAATAATGCCTTCCATAGTAAATGACATAATATTAAGAAAATGCATTAGTATTTAATTACTTAACCAAGCTATAATATCTTGCATCTATACAACAGCTCACATTTATTTTAGTCTCAAGTTGTCAAGCCACTTTGAGCTTAAGAAAGATAACTTGTCAGAGGAAGGATAGCGTTATCTCCTTACAAACGGCCTTGACATGGAGGACTCGGCTGGCAAACAGCAAGTGAGTTTTGAAGGAACACCAGCTCTGACAGGCATCATCACCCCCATTCTTTGAATTGCACAACCATGGAATTTGATTCCCACAGTGAGGAGTTAGGGAGGAAGATAAATATCTTTAGACAAAGATGAACAAAAACCTAAGTTGTATTAACTATTCACTTACTACATATATATAGATAGATAGATTTTTTTAAGAGACAGGATCTCATCGTGTTGCCTAGTCAAGCCTTAAATGCCTAAGCTTAAGGTATCCCCCACCCTCAGGATTCCATTGCTGAGACTACAGGTGCACACCACTGTACCCACCTTCTACTACCCACTCTAACTGACCTCTTTACCTCCCCTTTTCTAAACTGGGAAATAAGAAAGAGCAATTCACTAACGGATTTTAAGAAGGCATCTCTCCAGTTAAAGCATTCCAAACCCAGCAAAACAAACTTAATTTTCCGGGACCACAGTAGTTATTTCATGAATTTTATGCTTCCCAGAGACACAGAACTTACCAGAAAAAATAAAAAATGCCAAGGCAGTGATGGCAATAACTTTGATCCATGATTTAAGGAAAGGCATTTCATCGAGCCTGCAGAAGAAATCTTTGGAAATGTTTGTAAGATGTAGCTAAATGAAAGTTTCTTAAAGGTAAACAAACCGCTCCCCTGCCGCCCACCAAACCTAATTATGGTAAACTGTTCTCTTGATTCTTCCCCCAACCCTCAGAATCACAGCATGTGAAAAGAAAGCCTTCTGGAGACTTGAGAGAAACTTCAGGACAAATCCTCTTTGCACATTTAGAAAAGAGCTTTCTCCTGTCTCAATGCTTGAAGCAGCCCACAGGAGGTTGGTTGCATTTGAGTGAACATTCTCAGTAAAATCTGTTTTTGCTTTTTGTTTTTCTTTTTTTCTCTCAAAAAACATAAACAGTTATTTCAGGAAAGAAGGACCTGGAGAAGTCCTTATAGCAGTGCTAGGTTCCAGGACATCTCTGTAGAGTCCTGACCTCACCTACCTCAAGTAGAGAGAACAGTGGAAAGACAGCAGCCCTTCTGGGACTATGTCTATTCTGCTTGCCTTTCCTTCTCAGGAGCATGCATCTAGCTGAGCAGTCTCTTTTATTGATTTGTGAGTGGGAAGGTTGAAGGGGGGAAAGACAGATAGCCTCAGGAAGATAAGACATGGAGGCATTCTGTGTCCTCCTGCAGACCGTGAAGAGCGTCATGAGAGGTGCCTATCAAATATTTTTCACTATATCTATCAGTAGGAGCTGTACGGATAATTTGATCTCATGAACCCAGAAGTAGAGGTAAGATATAAAGTAATGAATTTTGTTACAGATCTTAAGACAGAGAAGACATAGGAAAGCTTTCCAAGCAAATGAGCTCAAAAGGGACAAGAGAGTCAAGAGAATTAACTCTTAATAGATAAGTCCCAGTCCTTGTAGTTTTGTAAAGCTCCTAAATGAAACTTAGATGCAAGCAGGCATGGGAAGACCAGGGTAAGCACAAAGGATATAAATACCTACAGTAAGAGACACAGTGGCCCAGCGACTGAAGCTGGCTCCAGATGAGGCCATTAAGTAATTTGTCATTTATCTCAAAGGTATGGGGGAGGCTCAGAAGGAATTTCCAGTAAGGAAAAGATTTAAATATTTTCCCCCTGGTTAACCTGATACAGCCTGATACATACTGTAGTATGGTGGAAAGATCTTTGAGTACTCAGCTCAAGTCACACGTACCTCTGAATAATCTGCACTCAATATATATTCAAAGACAATCTGTGAAAATTTTATAAGAAAAGCAAGAGTCTATACTACCTGAAAAAACATGTTCCCTCTCTCCACTTCCCAGATCAGTACAACAGATACTATTTCAGACCACTTCAGCCTCGAGAGGACTCCTTTCCATGCAGTTTCCATGCAGATTTTCTTCTCAAAAACAGGACTTCAGCCCTTCTCATCTATTCCCTAGCTGCTTCATACCACGGCTAAGTCCTGCGCAAGTGCACTGCACAAATGAAGACTTCCTGCTTCACCAGCTCCCAGTTATGGAATGTAAACTCTATTCTAGTGCGTCCTCCTGTCAATATTGCACCTCTGCAGCTCTCCTCTGTGTTATGAGCTAGTGATCTACACCAGCAGAGGCACTTCTACTGACTTCTAGGCCAGTGATTCACTTTTAGAAAATCTTCTACTCCAAGAATATGGGTGTCTCTCAGAAACAAGTTTGCCATTTTCCCCATGCTTAGCTCCAAATATACAGCTGAGAGATTCTGCCATCAAGAAACAGGCTATTAAAAAATCAGCCTTTGATTTCTGGCCAAAGGAAGTGATTTCATATATAATAGCTTATTAGTAAGTTTAAACCTGACATCCCTCTCAAAGGTAGCAGAGGCTTTTGAGAATGGAATTGAAGGGATATTCATAGGTCTCTTAAAGACAGAGCTTATAAGCAGGTCAGATACAAAAACCAAACTGCATGGGAAATACTACAAAGAATCAACAACTGGGATCTCATCCTATTGAAAAGTTTCTTCACATCTAAAGAAATCACGAGCAGAGTAAAAAGAAAATCCACAAACTTGGAAAAAATTTTAGTTGACTGTCCCTCGGACAAAGGTCTTCTACCTAGAACATATAAAGAATTGAAAAACATCAGCCCCTGCCCCATTCAAAGATCCAGTCCAAAATTCGGCAGCTGAGATGAATACACACTTCTCAGATAAAGAAATACAAATGGTAAATAAATACATGAGAGAATGTTCAACATTATTAGTCATCCTATAAATGCAAATTAAAACAACACTGAGATTTCATCTCACCCCAATAAGAATGGCTATCATTAAGAAATCAATTAATAACAAATGCTGGTGACACTGTGGAGAAATAGGAACTCTTCTCCACTACTGGCAGGAATGTAGACCAGTGAAACCACTGTGGAAATCAGTTTGGAGGTTCCCCAGCAAACTAGGTCTAGAGATTCTGTTCAACCAAGCTATTCCTCTTCTGGGTATCTTCCCAGAAGATCTGAAAACATCATATCACAGCTATATGTGTGTACCCATGTTTGTAGCAGTTCAACTTGTAATTGCTAAATTGTGGTGGCAACCCAAATGTCCATCCACTGAGGAGTGGATCAAGAAATTGTGGTACTTTTATATAATGGAATATTACTCAACTATAAAGAAAGATAAACTCAAGACTTTTACAGGTAAATGGTCACAACTAGAGACCACAATCATAAGTGAAATAAACCAGACCTCCACGTGTAAGCAACGTATTGTCCCACTAGTGTAAGAACCTGAAAAAGTGAATAAAAATTAGGAGGTATGATAGACATTGTGAAATGAAAGGAAAATTCTCAAAAGTAAAGAGCAACTGGGATGAGGGAAAAGAGCAAAGAAAGAAGGGGAAATTATGTATGTATGTATATACAGGATAGCTAACATAGTTGTACTACTGACTTCTATCACTTTACTGAAGGGAACAGTTAATGATTACTTATTTGATCTATCTTGCATATCTCTATTTGTTTTCCTCAGAAACCACTTTGAAGATAGCAATACGTAATACAACAACCATTGCTAATTTCCTACCACTTTGTCTGTAACTCTGTATTGCTTGTATTGTTCAAATGCTATTTTGTAAATGGATGTCTGTTACTATGTTTTCCTTCTTTTATTTTTAAAATAAATTTTAAAAAAGAATCAAAAAAAGCTGATGAGTGATAAAGATATAAAAGCCATAGTGGTAGAAAGGAAATGAAATACCAGATGTAATTACAAGCTACCATGATTTAAGAGTATTTAATTAAACAAGTAAAATTTTAACAAGTATTATTAGCAACTCAGTCAATATATTTGGAGAAATCAATACTTTTAATATCATGTTCCATATAGAAAATAATATTTATTAAGTAAACTGAAATAAAGAGAAGTGTTACCTGTCATTAGCAGCAGCTTGGAGAGTCAAGGTGCTTCCATCACACAACCATTTGTATAACTAGAGGAATCATATTTCACCAATATGCCATAATATGAAGGGTAAGTATTTAATGACTACAATTTTATTCTGTTTCTAAACCATAGAGATCAACAGCAACAATGAGGGCCAGTAGAGTCTACAGATAATATTAGCTTTGGGTAGGAGTTGACACAAATAGATATAACAGGTCATTTTCTATTGGATATTCCCTCCTCTAACGCCTTATATCCCATACTCTGAAGATAATCTTTTAAGAGCAAGAGAAGGTCTCCAGTTAAGTGGTGGTACATGAAAATGGATGATTCAGGTTCTGTCCAGGCCTCTCTGGCTTTACACTTACCTCCATCTCTCATAGTCACCAGGAAGGACCTGGATTAGAACCTGAACTGCAAACTTTCTTCCATAACTATGATCAGGCAAAGGTCATGGGAACATGAGCTTCCATGTCAAGTCACTTAGACTCCAAGGAAGCACAGTTACTAAAAGAAAGACAAATAACAGAGCACAGAAAACCAGTGAACACAATTATTGCAAAAACAAGCACACATCTGAAATAAATATAAATAATATACTTTGAGCTCTTGTATATAGAACTTTAGATCAAATAAACAGAACAAACTTTCTTTTTAAGCACACAAGAAACATTTGTAAAAATATACCATGTTTTAGGCCATAAAGGAAGCTTCAGTGGAGTATGCCTATGTCTTTAACCATTAATTTAAAAATGAAGCATTATAATGTTTCATTATAAAGATAACTTTAAATAATCTTTAGCTCTACAATTTTTATATTATTATAAATTACAGTAATAATTATAGTAATTACTCTATAATTACAGTAATTATTGTATCTATAAGTGCTGAAGACTAGGATTTTGTGGAGGCATCTGCTCAAATCAGAAAAATTATCCAGGAAAGAAGAATAATATACTTTCATCTTTTATATGTTTATAATATCATTCTATAAATCAACACTGGAAAATCCTTAATTTCCTAAAGGAAAATCAACAAAATACAAAGCTTTTAGAACTTAGGAGATTTTTAATTGCACTATCATGTTGTCTAATTTCAAAGATGATATCGTACACATATCCTCATTTTAAGTGATTTTCTTTTCATCGTAATAATGGAAGTGACACATAGACCCAAAGACCCAGTCACAAAAATTTTAATCTGTGCTTCCTAATTTGTTCCTTGAATTTTTAATCTCCTCCAAAGAAAACTTTGTAGAATATTTCATGAATGACTTTTGTTATACCGTGGGTATCCACTTTAGTCTGGCCATACCCCACCTATGGATGGGAAGCATCTTAACTCTGCTCACACCATCCTTTGAACCTTACCTTCCATTTGAAGACTTTGGAAATCAGCATTTTCCTAATTTGATTAATTAAGACTCATGAGAAGTACCGTTAGAAATTCCAGCTTTCAGGTTTCTCCAGTCTAGATTCTAATTCAATAGGACTGGGGAAAAGGCCATAGAATCATATCAAATATCTCCTACTTTCCCTACCTCCCAGAT